AATTATTGCCCCCATTTTATAGACGAGAAGACTAAAGTTCAGGAAGGTTAAGGGTTGTGATGAAGGTTACACAGCTAGTAAGCAGCAGGGTTGAAGTGCAATTATGTGTATGTCTGACCAGAGACTGTGGTGTTTTGTTTTTTTTTATTTTATTTTATTTATTTATTTGACAGCGAGAGAGGGAACACAAGCCGGGGGCCTAGGAGAGGGAGAAGCAGGCTTCCCGCCGAGCAGGGAGCCCGATGTGGGGCTTGATCCCAGGACCCTGGGATCGTGACCTGAGCTGGAGGCAGCCGCTTAACTGACTGAGCCACCCAGGTGCCCCAGAGACTGTGGTCTTAACCTTTCTTATGTGGTGCTGCCTTTCTTAGCGGACCCCACTTCTCCCTAAGGCACACCAATATCCCATACCCCAATATTCAAGTCTTTACTGAACAATATGCAGTTCCCCCAAATGCATCACGCTTGTTGTCACCTCTGAGCGCCTCGTGTGTTCTTCCTCCTGCTTTTGTGTCCTCCCTCAGTTTGCCACTTCAGGGCGGCCAGTCCTTGGGCCTATTACTCCATGTCATGGACCTCAGTTTCCTTGTGTGCAGAATAGGAAACACACCGATTGTAACGCTTACCTCACAAGCTAGGAAAAGCTGCTGTGTCGGACTGGCAGACACGGAACTGATCGATAGTCTAGCCACAGAAATAAACTTTATAAAAATACGAATAAAAATATAGAGCAAAATCGGGATAAGGGCTATGAAAGAAGCAAGGCGGGAAGGGGAGGCCGGGATGGCGCTGATCCCCTGAACTCCAGAGAGAGAGGAAAAAGATCGACACATGCAAGAACTGATTGAATGGGTTTCAGGATGGAGGTTAAGAGTGGAAACTCACTTTAGAAGGTGGTTGCGGTGGTCCAAGCAAGTGGTGAGAGTATAGGCCAGAGTGCAAGGAGTTGGAACAGGGAGTCGAGAAGTGGACGGATTCAAGACCCCCAAGGCTTGCGGAATCATACTTAATGGTGTAGGATTGAAAACTTTCCCTTAAGATCAAGAACAAGACAAGGATGCCCACTTTCACCAGTTCTATTTAACACTGCGCTGGAAGTTTTAGCCACACCCATTAGGCCATATTTATCTCTATTTGTGAAGACACAGTCTTACGTAGAGAAAATCCTAAAGAATATATACACACACAAACTATTACAGCTAATTAATAAACATATTTAACAAAGCTTCAGGGTATAAGATCAACATACAAAAATCAGTAGTATTTCTGGGGGGCCTGGCTGGCTTAGTCAGTAGAGCGTGTGACTCTTGATCTCTGGGTTGTGAATTTGAACCCCACGTTGGGTGTAGAGATTACTTAAAAAAAAAAAAGAATTGACAAAAATTAGTTGCATTTCCATACACTAACAATGAGCAATTTGAAAAGGAAATTAAGAAAACAATTCCATTTACAATAGCATCAACAAGGATAAAGTAACTTAGAATAAACCTGACCAAGGAGGTGTAAGACTTATCTGCTGAAAACTACAAAATGTCACTGAAACAAATTAAAGAAGATACAAATAAATGGAAAGATATCCTGTGTTCATGGATTGGAAGATGTAACATTGTGAAGATGACAATACTGTCCCAAACTACCTACAAATTCAATGCAATCCCTATAAAAATCCCTAAAGCTATTTTTGCAGAAATGGAAAAACTGATCCTAAAATTCATATGGAATATCGAGATTCCCTAAATGGCCAAAACCATCTTGAAAAAGAAGAATGAAATTAGAAGATTCATACTTCCTTACAGTAATCAAAATTGTGATACTGGACTAAGAACAACAATTAGATCGACTGAATAAGACGAGACTCCAGAAATAAACCCATACAACTATGATCAATGGATTTTCTTTGGTTTTTTTTTTTTTTAAGATTTTATTTATTTATTTGAGAGAGAGAGAGTGAGTCGGGGAGCGGCAGAGGGAGAAGTAGACTCCCACTGAGCAGGGAGCCTGATGCAGAGCTTGATCCCAGGACCCCAGGATCATGACCTGAGTCGAAGGCAGATGCTTAACAGACAGAACCACCCAGGTGCCCTGATCAATTGGTTTTCAAGAGGCTGCCAAGACCATTCAATGGGGAAGCAATAGTCTCTTCAACAAATTGTGCTGGGACAACCGGATATCCACATGAAATCAAGTTGGACCCCTACCTCATACCACATACAAAAGTCAACTTAAAATGGATTAGAGACCTAAATATAAAATCTGTAACTATAAAAATCTTAGAAGAAAACAGGAACGAATAGTCATGATCTTGGGTTTGGACATGGTTTCTTGGATATGACACCAAAACCACAAGCAATAAGAGAAAAAAAGATAAATAGAACATCATAAAATTCTAAAACTTTTGTGTACTATCTCAGTAGGTCACTATCAAGAAAGAGAAAAAGCAACCCACGGAGTAAGAGAAAATATTTGCAAATTATATATGTAATGAGAGTCTAGTATCCAGAATACATACAGAATTTGTACAACTCACCAACAAAAAGACAATCCAACTTAAAAATGAGCAAAGGACTTGAACAGAACTTCTCCAAAGAAGTTATACAAATGGCTCACAAGCATATGAAAAGATGCTCAACATATTAGTCATTAAGGAAATGCAAATCAAAACCACAGTGAGATACCACTTCACACCCACTAGGATGACTATAATTTAAAAAAAGGAAAATAAGTTTAAGCAAGGATGTGGGGAAATTGAAGTCTATACATTCCTGGTAGGAATGCAACATGATGCAGTCACTATGGAAAATAATTCGAAGGCTCCTCAAAATGTTAAATGTAGAATTACCCTATGAGCTGTGACTTAGTCCATGCAGGCAGCTATAACAAAGTACCATTGGCTGGGTGGTTTATAAATAACAGAAATTTATTTTTCACAGTTCTGGAGGCTGGGAAGTCCAAGATCAAGGCATTGGCAGATTTGGGGTCTGGTGAGAGCCCACTTCCTGATTCATAGACAGTTATCTTCCCATTGTGTCCCCTCATGGTGGAAGGGGCAAAAGAACTCTCTGGGCTCTCTTTCATAAGGGCACTAATCCCATTCACGAGGGCACCATTCTCCTGACCTAATAGCCTCCTAAAGACACCACCTCCAAATACACCTCCAATACACCTCCAAAGACATTGGGGATTAGATATCAATATATGAATTTAGGGGGATATAAACATCCAGTCTTTAGCACTCAGCAATTACACTCCTAGGTATATGCCCAAGTTAAATAAAATTACATATTCCCACACAAAAATATGCACACAAATGTTCATAGCAGCACTATTCACAATAGCCAAAAGGTGGAAACAATCTAAATGTCCATCAATGATGAACAGAAAAACAAAATGTGTTCTATCAGTACAATGGAATATTGTAAAAAGCC